TTTTTCTTCTCACTTTCACAGGGTCTGAGGAGGGAGAGGAGATAACTGCCCAGTCTGCTGTGTATTCTTCTAAAACATGTAAATGGCAAGTCATCTTCACAGTTGTGTTGTGATGTGGATGGTGCAGGACTATGAGAATTCTAGTCAGGGGCTCGTTGTAGAAGCATGGCCTTACATAGGAGCTTGGTGAATAATAAGTGACCTAATTTTGTATTTTTCAGTGAAAATAATATTTTGCTTGAGCTATGTTTGTATTATTATTTAAGAGTTGTCCACTTTTTTTCCCCCAGTACTGAGGATTGAACCCAGGGCCTTCACAATGAGCTACATCTCCAACACTTTTTTATTTTTTATTTTAAGACAGAATCTTGGTAAGTTTACCAGGTTGGGCTTAAACTTGCAGTCCTCCTGTTTCAGCCTCCCAGAGTATTGGTTTTACAGGCTGGCACCACCACACCTGGCTAACCATTGTCCACTTTGGATTTTTCCAGTGAATCAACCTATTCTGTTCCTGCCTGTGACTTAAGAGACAATGTCTTTTGATCTCTATAACTTTTATTTTGTGACAGATAGCTGTTGTCTAGGACAAAAGGAAATAGAAGTCCAGGACAGGACATAACATCTTTCTTTTTTTAAAAACACATTCTTTTTTTTTTGGTACTGGGGAAGGAACTCGGGACCTTGCGCTTGTGAGGCAGGTAGCAGCACCACTGAGCCAAATCCCCAGCCCTACATTACATCTTTCTATTCTTTGTTCTTTTTGTTTGTTTGTTTGTTTGTTTTTTGGTACCGGGGATTGAACTTGGGTCCTTCCATCTATTCTTTTTTTTTTTTTTTTTTAATGGTGAAAATAATGTGTATTTAGAATTAACCAGCTGGACTCAGTTTAGATGATCCCAATTTTGTTGGCAACATCCAAAGCATCATCATCAGGAGCCAGTTGAACATACCCCTTCTTCTCTCCATCAGGCCTGATTAGGGTATTGACCTTGGCCACATCAGTTTCATAGAGCTTCTTCACAGCTTGTTTGATCTGGTGCTTGTTGGCCTTGACATCCACAATGAATACGAGTGTGTTGTTGTCTTCTATCTTCTTCATGGCTGACTCTGTGGTCAGGGGGAACTTGATGATGGCATAGTGGTCAAGCTTGTTTCTCCTGGGGGCGCTTTTCCGAGAGTATTTTGGCTGCCGCCGGAGCCACAGTGTCTTGGGACGGTGGAAGGTGGGTGATGTTCGGATTTTCTTCTTTTTGTGGCTGTGGATGCCTTTCAGCACTGCTCTCTTGGCTTTCAAAGCTTTTGCTTTGGCTTCAGCTTTGGGAGGGGCAGGAGCTTCCTTCTTTGCCTTCGGCGCCATCTTGGTAAAAAGGGCCATCTTTCTATTCTTTAGGTGATGAGGAAACTAAGTTATGTGGCAGGAGTGAATCTAGGCAGCCATAGGATACGATTTAGTTGTTTGCTCATTAGTTCTTTCAATAAATACTTGATCACCGCATGCAGTGGAGCATGGCACTGTGGGAATACAGAGCCTTCGACATAACCCACACAGATGTTTCCTGGCTGTTCACAAGCATGAAAGAGACATTGTGGCCCTTTCCTTGAGCTGGGTACATACTGACAAATTTCTCTCCTTTTTTTCTACTTTTTGTCTGGAGGTTAAAAAAAAATGTCTTTGTTCTCTTAGTTTTAGTCAGGGAGGCAACCATCCATGTGAATCATTGGTCGGAAGGGCAGGGAAATATTAGGCAAAGCGCTAACTATGCAGCAGAAACTCCCTTTCTATGAATGGAATCATCTGGAATGCTTTAACAAAGGCACTAGTTAATAGCCAATGTTGGATGCAAGGACTCAACAGAATTCTGACCCTGACTTGAACCACCACACAGCAAGCTTGAGCAATGTCACAGGCTCCGCACTCATTTGCAAGCTTCTGCCACCCATGACAGGCATGGGTACCCTCCTCTAAAGCAGGAGGGAGAAACAGCTTCTGCTTGGTATGAGCAGAACCCTGACTGGCTCCAGGGAAGGAAGGTGTTTAGAAGGATGGTTTTTCTTTAAAGAACCTAGTTCATGTCAATTGAGTGGAGTCAACCAGCAGGTTTAGTCCACAGAGAAACCCCTCCCTGACTGACCTGGCTGGAGGATTGCTCTAGCACATGGCTTTCTCACAGTTGCACAGTGGTGACGGGAGCTCCATGTGGCAACTTTGATGTCTGTGTCACACCACAGGGATAAGAGTGCCCATAAGCAGAAGTGCCACCGGTTTCCCTTCCTCTCTCTTGCTCTCCTCACTGTCCTCCAGCTTCCATTCTGCATAAGACATTGCCGTAGTAGGGGAGCGAAGGCTGGAGTCTGTGACAAGCTTGTGTCAAAGGGCTTGTTGAGCAGTGACGGAAGTTATGGGACAGAACAGTCTGGTAGGATTGAGAGGAAACAGAGGAACTAGGCCCAGAGAGGATGAGGAAGAGTGGGAGAGGCAGAATCAAAAACAGAGAAGGAGGAGCAAAAGCCAGGGACAAGGTGGATGTGATGAAACCCAAGTGGAGGGTCAAACCCACAGATGGAAGAGGGAAGGAGCCGAGCTTTCTCGGGAATGCTTTGTGTGTCTCCTTTAGTTGTGTATTTTGGTGGAAGTTTTCTGATCCATGAGAAAATAAGGGGTGGGTATTGCTCCCATAAGAGTGGGAGCTCATGGTAGCTTTCATAAGCTTACAATTGACTTTCAAATCTGTTTACCTTATTTGCACACTACAGATCTGTGGGTTTTGTGCCTGTGAGCGAGTTGGGAGAGAATGCTCCAAGCATTGCTCCTCTAGCCCACAGGCCAAGTTGATTAACAGTGGCATGGAAAATGTCTCCTTAAAAGCTCCCTCCCTGCCTTGCACTTCCAGGGAGAACCTTGGGAAGGGAGATGATGTATTAGAAGGTGCAATATTAACAGACACTGAAATAAACTTACTACGATTGGATGCATTTCAGAAAATGTAAATATTGCATTTTTATAGCCTTAATTCCTGTATTAGTCAGCTTTCTGTAGTTGAACACAATACCCAACACTCACAGTTTAAAGGAGGAGGTTTAATTTGGCTCTTTTTTCAGGGAATTTAGAACTGGGTGTGGTGGTGAATGCCTATAATCCCAGCACTCAGGAAGTTGAGGCAGGAGGATTAAAGTGAGTTTGAGGCCATCTACATGCTGAACTACATGGTGAGACCTTGTTTAAAAAACAAAACAAAAGGAATTTAGACCCTGACTGTCTGGCTGCAGGGCAGGAATATCGTGGCAGAAGGGCATTACAGAGCAAAGATGCTTAGTTCTTAGCAGATGGGAAGCAGAGCAGGGAACAGTGCCAGAGAAGAGGTGACCAAAGGGGACACATCCATAGCCCACACAGACAGACCCAGAACTGTGCTCCACTGGTCCCTTGGGTGGATCCCAAAGCCAGTCAAGTGGACAGTCTGCCTGAACTGCCACAGTACCAAACCCTCATCCACAAATCCTGGTCGCAGACTAACAGTTGCTGCTGGAGGCTTATAAGACTAACCCAAGCAGAACCCAGAAACCAGAAACCTTCATTTCCTAGGAAAAGCTTAACTTCTACCCCAAGACTGTCCTGTAGAAAGTTCTGCCATATGAATACAGTTATGATCAAAGCGTGGCCCTGGGAATTTTGTTCTTCCTAGTGGGGAGCCATGGAAACCAAGCAGCTACCACAGGGGGTAGACTTGGCAGAGACGGGAGCATATGGGGTTGATAGCAGAAAGAGATGTCGCCATCTGGCACACCAGCCCCTGGAATGATTCCATCACTTCCCTGTCCTACCTCTGCTCTGGGTTGAGAGCAGATGGCGTTTAAAATCTATTTGCCTATTAAAAAAAATTACCTAGTCCTGGTTTAAAGCAAATGGAGATACACCAGGTCCCGAGTTCGATCCCCAGTACCAAAGAAATAAAAAAATAAATAAAGCAAATGAAGATAGAAGATGATGTGCATTGTTAGGGGTTTCTGCCAGGGTGGAGCTCAAAGCAGAGGGGAAAAATTTCTGAGGATAGACTATCTCGGATCTGACTGCTGGGAAGTGAGCTGGTTGTTTCCTTTTAGAACATGATGAATTAAACCTCCAGGGGAAAAACCAATGGACAGGCTACCTCACAGAGAGAAAGGAAGATTGGGTGAGAGGTGGGGCTACAGAGGGACTTCCTGTAAACCCCACTTGCCAGGCCCCTGGATGACTTTCAAATCAAACTTCTGGAAGCAGAGCTTGTTAGCTGGCGAGGTGACTGATTTGTGTGGGATTTGAACATGAATACCATTCTATTACTCTTTTAGATATGGTCAGTAAAGCTGGATATGCTATGAATACCTTGTTGGACCTTAACATCTAGAACCTTGATGGTTGTGAACTTCTGGAATCATACGATTATGGAAGTTTGGAGACAGAGTACATGGGCTAAATGGATTTCTTCTTTCAGTATTTTTCTTTTTTCGTTTATGTTTTAGTTCAGTGGTATATCCCATGTATATTTATTACATTCTCATCAGCTGTGACACCACAACCAGATACTGCCTCAAATTCTGAAAGTCATGACTTATTTGGATTGGAACAACTACCCTCAAAATACCCAATAATATAAAATCTAGAGACACATCCCCAGATCAATATTCCTTAATAAAATAAGCATGTCATTGAGTCATTCATCTTGAGAAGGTTTCTTGTTCATCCAAGGATGCCCTATCCAGGAGTTAAAGAACAGGGCTGATCCCTTGGAGTCAAATTGTGCTGGTTGTTCCTGCCCTGTTTTCTTCTGTCCACACTGGACTCGGCGATGCCTGCTGTTGATAGGGCACATTTGGTATTGGATGCAACTCTGGACTCCTGGGACTTCCCTCTTTAGACAGTGGGTGGCTGCAGTGGCCTCTCAGCATCCTCCATTCGAGAAACTAGAGGGATCCTAGCCTTGCGATGGTCAGTCAGAATTCCATCTCCCTGCCTACTCCAGATCCATGAGAAGGAAGAGGAAGAGTTCAATGAGAAGAGTGAAAATGACTCTGGAATCAATGAGGAGCCTCTACTCACAGCAGATCAGGTATGAGTCTCTCTGTAGGCTCTTGAGGCCTTTTGTTCTGAAAAAGTTTAAGAGAATATACTTGCCACATCCACTTAAAGCAGAAGAAAGCTGTCCAGTCTTGAGGTGGCTTATTGATAAGTTCTGCTGCCTGTGTGTTATTTTTTGCCACCTCATTTTTTTTATTAGCATTTTTTTGGTACTGGGGATCAAACTCAGGACCTTGTGCTTGCAAGGCAGGCAGCAGAACCACTGAGCTAAATCCCCTGCCCAATTAACATATGTTTTTGATACACAAAAAATACATTCATCGGGGGAACTGGTACATATACATATCACATCTGATCCTTTTAACTTCCTCTTCCCCTTCCCTCTTTCCTTCTTCCTTCAGTCGGGGTACCTTTGATCAGGGATTTAATTTTATTTTATGCCACCTGCTTCCTAACACTTGGGTGACTGGGCTCAGGTTGTGAGGACAGCCAGAGACAGACCTGGTGTTCACTGGCTTCATGGCCTGCTAAGCCTCCTACTGCAATTCCGTGTACTTGGAGTCAGGATATTTAGATGGGTTTCTCAAATATCTGTTCTTCCAAAAAGAGAAGTGACAGATGAGGCTTCTGTGTGATGGATTTCTCACATTTCATAGAACACTGAAAATTTTGGGCTTTCCAAAAGGAGTGTTAGAGACACGTCTGTCTTTGTGAGAAGAAATAGAAGGTTTTGCATTTGGTTGAGTTAATTATATTTTCGCTTCAGTAATTTATCGGGGAGGTTAATGTTGAGTTTGGATTCCTTATTCAACATTTTAGTCAACAAATTCTTATTTTAAGCTAGAAACAATGCAATTTTTCAAAAAAATCTTTCTGAAGACATTCCACTGGGGGCTGTAGTGTCAAAAAGGGCCTTTTAATTGAGGTGCTTCTTCATACCTGTGGTCAAAAGATAGGATTTTCTTTTTAAAAATTTCTTTAACTTTTTGGGTTGGGGATTTAGGTCAGTGGTGCCACCACCTGCCTCACAAACACAAGGTCCTGAGTTTGATCCCCAGTACAAAAAAAAAAAATTCTTTAACTTTTTAAAAGTGGAGCTTGAAGCAGATAAAGAACAGAAGGAAGAGAAGAACAGGGGCTGGCAGTTATTCTTACAACTTGTGAGAAGGAGCTGGACCCAGTGATAGAGATTCAGTGCTAACTCTCTGCAGAGAAACTCAGCCATAAAATCCTGAAGGGGGTTTGTGTCGTGTGATCACATCCATCAAATTAGTTTTCAGTAGTCAAAATCTAGGCGTCCCTTAAATTCCTAAGTATAGTTGATAAAGTTTGTGAATCAAAATAGGAATTATTGGGCTGGATATTTAGCTCAGTGGTTTCGCTGCCTGCTGCGCAAGTGCAAGGACCCAAGTTCCATCCCCAGTACCGGAAAAAAAAAAGAGAGAAAGGTAGAGATATTTAGGGCCGGGGATTTAGCTCAGTGGTTCCGGTGCCTGCCTCACAGTGCAAGGTCCTGAGTTCAATCCCAGGTACCAAAAAAAAAGGAATTATTCTAAAGGAGGAGACTCTAAGCCTCCTTACCTTTGGTCTATGCTGCCAGGAGGAAACACATTTCCAAGACCATAGCCCCGTGGCCTTGGAGATGGACCCCCTCACATCTGGAACATTCTGTTGTATAAATATGCTGTTGCCACCAAAGTCACCTCCAGAGTCAGCTTCAGAAGCTTGGCTTACTCTCTTCAAACAATCAGTGTACACAGTAGTTCACTATTAGTCCTTCAGGCAGGTATTGAATCTTTGCTTCCACTTTTATGGCATTCTTTTTTTTTTTTTTTTGTACCGGGGATGGAACTCAGGACCTTGCACTTTTGAGGCAGGTGGCGGCACCACTGAGCTAAATCCCCGGGCCCTACTTCCACTTTTAGAAGGAGCTCTCCATCGAAGTAGACATTAGAGCTGAGATTCTTACCTATTTTATGCTATAGAGACCCTGACTCTCCTTTTATTATTTTATTATCTTTATTTTCATTTGTTGCTAGATAGCTTCAGTTCCTGTCCAGGTGAATTCTGGAGAAATGGCCATTTTCCTCCCCATTTTGAGCTGTTCTGGAAATCGACCCCCCCCCCCAGCCACATGTATTGTGATAATTAATGAACTGGATTTTGTGTTAAAGTTGGGTGAATAAAATATTTTCCCACTTAGAAATAAAATGCTCAGCAAATTAAAGTCAGTATTCCTTTCCAGGCAGCTCTAGTTTGTTTCCTTACAGAGTAGTTTATTTCCAATAAAGCATTCATCTAAATGGAGCTCTTGGAAGAGGCTGTGCATGAAAGAGTGCTTTCCATTAAAGAAAGAATATGGGTGAGCCTTTGCCTGGGTCTATTTTTATTATTATTTATTAAGAAATGGCACTGCTTCCAGAATTTTACAGACTGCAGATTATAAACATCCTTAACTGATCAGAATCCAAGCCCAAATGCTCCTCCAGGAAAGAGCAGAGTTTGCACTCTGTTGTGTACCGTCCTCAGGTAATTGAGGAGATTGAGGAAATGATGCAGAACTCCCCAGATCCTGAGGAGGAAGAGGAGGTTCTGGAAGAAGAGGATGGAGGAGAAACCTCTTCCCAGGCAGACTCGGTCCTGCTGCAGGAGATGCAAGCCCTGACACAGACCTTCAACAACAACTGGTCCTACGAAGGTGAGGCCCCGGGGGGACTGGCTGAGGACAATGTACCGCCATGGTGACTTGTGTGACAGAACCCAGTTGCTGCCCCAGCCCAGAGGCTTACACATCCAGAGGGTAGGCAGCACCCTCCCTCCTCCTCCACCTCAGGAAGGAAGTGAGTGTTTTTATAAATGAAATGGTAGTCAAGCAAAATGTAACTGGCAAAGCTAACCAAAGAACAAAACGAAAGGATAAGTGGAAGAACTCAAAACCACTGTTGAAAAGCAATGGATGATGCCACCATAAAATCAATGAAAAAAATACAAAAGATAATAATAATTGCTCCTAGTTTTGGGAGTGCTTTCTACATGCCAGACCTACTTTTGACCATTTTATGTATGATCTCACACCATCCTATTAGGGTTGAGCTGAGTCTTCTGTAGGCTAAATGGCTTGTCCAAGGCCTCTGTTGGAGAAAAAGAATTAAACACTAAATCTCTTCACCATCCAGAAAAACCTCTCCACAAAGGTAGAAGAGGAAGAAAACATTTCTATTGTTGAATAAGCATTAAACCCGAGTAGGGTGCACATCACAGACAACCCACTGAGGGGATGGCAAAGACTGAGAGCAATCTTGCTCTGGTCTGTTACTAAGTGGACAGAACCCATTACCCTAAGTGTGTTTTGCAGCTGGGAGTCAGGTGGTGAGTTAGGCCTCTCTGCTTCCAGAACAGTGAGAGATTAAGCCTTATCTTCCTTGATGATTACATTTCAAAGCAGTGACTCCCAGGTCCCCAGGAAGCCTTCCTGAATTGTGGGAATGGTAAGAGGCTGATATAGCCATTAAAAGATTGCACATACTTTCAAAAAGGACAAAGAAATTTTGAAAGAAAAAGAAAATTGGAGAGAAGAAAAATCTCTTCCCTCATTGATTATTTAGTGTAGTGCTGAGGATTGAATCCAAGACCTCACCCCTGCCAAGCGCACACTCTAGCACCAGGTACACCCTCAGCCCTCTTTCCTTATTCTCAGCGGGGAGCACCAAGCCTCTCATTGTAGATTGGTGCTTGTCCTCAAACCCCCAGTAAGTTGAAGTGGTGTAGCCAGCACTTGAAGCCAAGGTTAACTCCAGAGTCCAGTCTCTTGGGCTGGGGATTTAGCTCAGTGGTTCCACTGCCTGCCTTGCAAGCGCAAGGACATGAGTTCAATCCCCAGTACCAAAACCAAAAAAAAAAAAGCCAAAAAAACCGGAGTCCAGTCTCTTAATTCCTGTATCACATTAACTCTCTGACACAGGTTTATGCTAATTATGACGGTGCAAAGAAAGGGCTGGATGAAGCGTGAAATGAAAAAAATGTAACATATGCAAAGCAAAATTGAGACTAAAATCCATCAGTCTGAGGGGTGACAGTGCCCATGATGCAGGAGGGGCCCTGCTTTGGGCGGGAGGTCCCCACACAGGATGGCGTGGGTTTATAAACCACAGAGAGAGACGGACAAAGGTGCAATCAAGGGTTACAAGCAACGAAAATCAAGGTGCGGGTCTGAAGCACAGCATGCTGAAAGTGAAGTCCTGCAGCTTCAAGGAGAGGAGACAGGGTGGTGGCTGCTTCCTGGGGTGGTGGGGTGGGGGAGCCAGTGGGGGTGATGAGTGGATTTGGCTGCCCTGCTGCATTCACAGCTGCCCCAATGGGCCATTCTCAGCCACACAAAGGCCCCAAAGATAGAAGTGCTCAGCAAGGGAGTCATGAAAACAGCTGAGATGCAGAGTGAAATGGCAAAAAACAAGACAGAGCAGAGCTCCACAGAGCAAAATAAAGGGGAAAGACAAGCAAGTCAGCAAATACCCAGGCCAAGCAAAAAGAAGAACGGATTCTGAGGTAAAAATAAAAAGATACCATTAGTCAGGAGCACACTTGACGAGATGCTTCCTTAATCTATTTTATCTGTCATATTCCGCCTGTAATGGACATGTAGTGATTGTACATGTTTATGGGGACAGAGTGGCATCTCAGTTTCTGTGTACAGTGTGTAGATTGGGTTGGGGTGACCAGCATGTCTGTCACCTCAGTCATTCACCACTTCCCTGGTGGTGGACATTAAAACCCTGTGTATGAACTACTTTGAAATAGTTGACAAGTTGTTATCAAACACCTAAAGCAGCCTTAGGGGCCAAGAAGTTAAAGGGAAGTTATCTGTGTCCCATGCTCTCATTTCCTCCCTTTGTCTGGAAGTGGTGACTGCTCTGTACTGACTGTCTGGGCCTCAGTTTCCCCTGCGCATTCCTGGTCTTCCTCAGGTCTCCCATAGTTTTGAACATGTGGATTGTGGCACAGGACGTGCATCCTCAGATCCTCAGCTTCTGTTCCTGCCAGCTATATCATGATCAGTTCTTGGGAATAAATATCACCTCTGTATTGCTCTGCAGCACAGATGCCAAAAATCTCTTATGCCCCTCCAATTCTTGACCCATTCCAGTGTGAGGAATATTATAGAGACAGAACAAATAGAACAAAAGATCAAAAAGCCAGGCATCTATGCACCCACATTTCTGTGCACAGAATCTACAGGCTTCCTTGGGGGCCTGTTTCTTCTTCCTCTTTTCCCAGAGTGTGGTGTTCTGTACATGATTTTAGGGTCCCTCACTTACTGGCCTCCCCCTAGTTATGAAGATCTTTCAGAGACCTCTAAGAAATTGGAGGGGGTCTCTTCTCAGGGAGGCCATCCCATCCTCAGAGGGCTCAGGCCCAGTTGCAGGTGTCGGCTACAGGCTGGTCTTCCCCTGTAGGCCTGAGGCACATGTCAGGGTCTGAGCTGACTGAGCTGCTGGACCAGGTGGAGGGTGCCATCCGGGACTTCTCAGAGGAGCTGGTGCACCAGCTGGCCCGCCGGGACGAGCTGGAGTTTGAGAAGGAAGTGAAAAACTCCTTCATCACGGTGCTCATCGAGGTTCAGAACAAGCAGAAGGAGCAGCGGGAACTGATGAAGAAGAGGAGGAGAGAGAAAGGGCTGAGCCTACAGAGTAGCCGGATAGAGAAGGGAAGCCAGATGCCTCTCAAGGTACGTGAGCAGCTGGAGTGCTGGGTTTACCCAGCCTTGAATCCTAGGCATGCAAGCCCTGGCACCTGCCCTATGGTAGACATGTGAGCACTTACTGAGCAACATTATGAGGGGCCTCTATGACAGATAATGTCAGAGAGGCCCCCACAGGGCCCCTGTCTAACTGCAACACACAGCATAAATGTTAAAATATGGCCTGGGTTCTCCAGGTTAGAGCTCAGGACCCTGGTCAGGGTGTCTGCCATTGGCATGGACATGTTCCGACCTGGTCTGGTTAAGGTGTGTGTAGGGTGTTGACAGGGTATTCAGGGCTTGAGAGTGACCAGGTGCCTTATTGATCTGTAGACAATGTTCTCCAAACCAGGAGTTCTTAATCAGGAAAGTATCCTAGCATCATCTAAGGAGCTTTTTCAAAATGCCTTTGCCCAGCTCTATCTCAGACCAATGAGATTAGGCTAGGGCTTGTGCATTTTGAAAACAACCTCCCCAGACTAGGACAGTTGCTTTAAACTTGTCCTCACTGATAGCTGAACATTCTGTTTTCCCTGAGATCTTTGCATTATTGTTCCCCTAAGTTTTACTGAACTCTTTTATTTTTTTTTATGTAGTAGAGGATGAAATGAGGCAAACTGGGGGAACACAGAGGACTCCTGTTGATTGAGGGACTTACTGAGATAATCTTTGAGACAAGTTCCTTGAGATTGCTGGTTATTCTTGCAAGTTCAGGCTTAAACTCGGGCCTGTCTCTGTAGGCCAAATCTTACACTGACTCTAGTCACTGTGACAGTGTGATAGCTGATGGGCCTGGGCACTGGAGTGAGAACACAGGGGCTACTGGGGAGGTGACTATGGGGCAGGAAGCATTTGCCCTTCTTGCCTCTCTCCCACCAGCGCTTCAGCATGGAAGGTATCTCCAACATCCTGCAGAGTGGCATCCGCCAGACCTTCGGCTCCTCGGGAACCGACAAGCAGGTACAAGCTGATTTCCTCCTGTTCTTCACCTGGGTTCTGGCAACTCAGGCAAAACCTGGACAGAACTTAAAACCCAACCCTGTTTCTGGAACTATAGTTGTTTTAAGGATAAAATGCATCAAAAGGGAACCTGTTTCATGATTGACTCCGTTTTAGAGTTTAATCAACTCCATCACAAAGGATCACCAGCTGACCCAATGCTACCACCAAAACCACTTCTTGGGCTGGCTCTGATTGTGACCCATGCTGTGGAGGCTCCTCATTGACTCCATTTAGTCAGTGACTTGCCCATTGTTAATCAGCTTTGTGTTACTATAACAAACTACCAATGACAACCATCTTTATAAATATAGAGAAAAATGTATTTGGCTCAAAGTTTTGGAAGGTCAAGTTCAAGAATGGGTGGCCTCATTGGTTTGACTTCTGGTGAGGGTGGCAGAGGTGTATGTAGGAGTGTGTGGTTCCATCTCAAGCCACGAAGGGAGAGAGAGAGAAAGGGAGAGACCAAGGTTCTTTAATTCCCTTTGAAGACAAGACCCCTTTGCCTAAGGCCTTTTCACTATCTCCCTCTTGAAGGCACATAGTACTTCCCAGTACCACAGTCCTGGGGACCCAGCATTTATATATGGAGCTTTGGAGTACACTCATATCACACCCAGTCCATAGCATCTGGGAAGCAGCTTGCCTCTGTGGTTATCAAAGCGGAATTTAAAAACTCTGATGAGAGTCTCGTATGTCACGCTCTGATGGTAGGTCCTCAGATGCCAACGTGGAAAGTCCTGGTTCCTGCCCTCGTGGGGTGCATAATCCAGTAGACACTGCAGTGTGTGAACCAACAAGCTTGAAAATGTGGAATAATTGCTTGTGAAATGTGTGTATCTTTCAAATATGTTTGTAGCAGGATTCTAAGCAGAAGTCTACAGCTGCGGCGTGGGAAGAGACCTTAGGAACATTTAGCCCCGCTCTCTCCTTTCACAGAAGTGAGAATGAGACCCAAAACAATAAGGCCTTGCTGTTTGCACTGCAGTCTCTCACCAGAGGCTGCCTTAGGGCATGTCCAGGTCCCACCAGCCCCTGGGCCCCAAGGTCCTGGGTTTGTTGGAGGAACTCCTCACATCCAGCAGGGGGAGCAATTCCAACGTCCAAGACCTGGGTGGAGTTGACAGTCTTTCTCCTGTGGTTTTTGACAAAAGAGAAATGCCTTCTTAAATTGCACTGCAAGGACAAAAACAAAACGACAAGCCCTCTGGATATGTTCTTTGCTCTCAGCCTGAAGGAAAACAAAAAGTCCCCAGGATTCCTAGATAACCAAAAATTTCTAGTGTTGGAAGAAGGTAGAAGTTGGGATGGAAGGAATGTTGGCTAAATATGAGGAAAGTCTTACTTTTAAAGAGACAGCCCCTGAAGGTGGGGGAAATAGTTTTGAAGTGATATGACAATGGGCTTTTTGTTGTTGTTGTTGTTGAGAGAGGGTCTTGCTCTGTAATTCAGGCTGGTCTTGAACTCACTATGTAGCCCAGGCTGGCCTCGAACCCCTGGTGATCCTCTTGCCTCAGCCTCCCGAGTCCTGGGATTATAGGCATGGGCTACCACCCCCTGCTTGAATGTGTTGTTGAGCGAGTCAAATCTGACGTGGTGTGCCATACCTTAAACCCAGGGGGACTGTGTCTTGTGATATCTTGGGCCCTGTGTGCCCTGTTTGTCTTACAGTATCTAAACACAGTCATCCCTTATGAGAAGAAGTCCTCTCCTCCCTCTGTGGAAGACCTGCAGATGCTGACAAACAGTGAGTTCTCTCCTCCCAGCTGCTCCTTGCCCTCCTCCCTGCATGGGTGAGGCCCCTCCACTGCCTTGGGCCCAAGATTTCCCCAGGGCAGCTTTACTGGGCTCCACACTGTTTGTCACACCCCTTGGCACAGGGTAAAATCAAAATACTCTGCAGAGCTACCCAGAGCTGTCTTCTTTTTCCCTTGGTTCTCTTAAGGGAAGAAATCTGTTGGGGTGGGGGTGGGGGGACTGGTGACAGAGACTGGGGGAGGGGTGGGGAATAGGGCATGGTTTTTCTTGTTTCCCCAGAGGCTCTCAGGGCTTTGCATTCTCTGCCTTGCCTGTTCTCTCCTGCAACTCCAGGTTGCCTGGTCCACCCTTGTGCCTTTTGAAGCAGGGAACTTGGTCTGTGGGTCTGGCTGTATTTTTAATGACAAGCAAGGTTTCTTGGGTGGGGTGAGGCTGATTGAAAAGAAGAGCATCTAGTTTTCCTTCCAGAAAGTGACTGGCTCCATTATCCTATATTAATAAACATTCTGAGCTGTGGGAGAAAACTGTGTAATAAAGACCCCTTTGTAGGCAGAATCTCTTTATATACATACAACAAACAGTACAACTCCCAAAGGGCTGGGGACGCATGGTTCAGCCATCAGTGTCAGCTTGGCTCTGTTAGGAGGAGAAAAATCCTGGGCTGAGACATGGCGGATCAGAGAGGAATTCCACTTCCCTGGCAACCAAGTGATGGCAGGCTAGGAGGCTGCCCGCCCATTGCAGGCTGCCCTGGTGGGAGGGGTCCATCCCGGGCCATCGGACACCCCAGGAGAAGCCTGAGGGCCACTATTCAGTCAAGGAAGACAGCTGCCCGCTGGGCCCTGGTGCTGAAGGTGACCAAATGTTTTCATTTTTGTCAGTTTGGAGAATGAAAGCGAGAGATGGTAGCAAATGGAAACCCTGCTGTAGGCACGGCATCCTTGAGAATCAGAAATTTTAAAACTAAAGCGTATACTGACTTGTTCTTGACTCATTTTAAACTTCTCTCTTTGCATAAATGAACACTAAGACTTTTTTAAAGGAAGTAGACAGAAACTCATTTATAGGGCTTGGGATGTAACTCAGTAGTAGAGTGCTTGCCTCGCACACAGATGGTCCCGGGTTAAAGTCCTAACGCTGACAAAAAAAACCCCCAAAAAAACAGATAAGACAAGTAAAGAAAAGAAAAAGGGCAAATATATTTATAGATGTTTGTGTTTTCACAGTGGTAAACATTTGGAAAATAATTTGGACAAATTACAAAGGTTGAAATATGTAAAGTACCTGATCCTGGTCTTAACAGAGGGAAGAATTATTAATTTATTAAGATGCCCACCCAGGAGTTCAATGTGAGATTCTTTCTGATTTAATTAAGAAACAGGCATGTTTCTATTCTGAGTGGGCTTGTTTACATTTTTCAAGTTCATTTAAAAAAATTATAGCTAGAGAGCATCCAGCATTAAAATACTTTGGATATATGGAAAAGTGAACAGAGACAAATAAGTATTTCCTTGTTTCCTTTGTTTTATTTAGTACTTTAGTATTTTCCAGATAGTTGGGATTACACTGGCTAGACAATTTTGTGTCATGAGTTTAGTCACATCACTTAATTGTTAATATTTCGTTAATGTTCTTTTTATGCCTATCTTTTCTATCATGGAGATATACCACATCCCAATATTTTCTTCTTTTTAGAAGAAAAACTACCATCTTCTTTGAATACCAATTCTTTTATAGGTTATAAAAGTACTCATTTTTATTTTTATTTTTTTAGAGTACTCATTTTTAGCAAATTGTAGTATGAATTTGTGAATAATAGTCCCTCTCTTTGAGTCAAGAACATAGGCCAAAGACCAACTTCTCTGACTGGACATTCTAAAATTTGGAGTCTGTCTTTGGGTGTGGTGGCAAATGCCTGTAATCCCAGCACTCAGGAGGCTGAGGCAGGAATGCTGCTATGAGTTCTAGGCCAGCCTGTACTACATAGCGAGACCCTTGAAAAAAAACTAAAAAGAAAGATAATTAAATTTATTTTGGAGTCTGGAGATCAACTTAGATACATACCAGCTGAGTGCAGTTATTGTACTTTTACTGCAATCTTTTTGCTGTGGCAGTCTGCCCAGGCTCAGTTGCAAAGTGTTTCCAGCCAAGTAAGTGGAAATGATTGTATGTCTAAAATACAGGAAAAAAACAAAAAACAACAACTTGAAAAAATCAAGACCCCCCCCAGCATCTACTTAAGTTGAAATTGAATACATGTTTAAAAATAGACAAGAAAACAGAAAAACCTACAGCTGGGGGGCTTTGGGTCCAGTCTTCCTTTCTCTGGACCTGACCACTGACTCACAGCATTGCTGGGCCCTGTTCCTCATCCACTCTGATTTTGGATGCAAGTTTCATCCAGCTGCTTTGAAGTGAGGCAAGGCATCCATGGAGGGCAAAGGCACCGACATGGATTGAGGTCTCTGTGTTGTCACAGCTGCCCCCGGACCCTAGCTCTTAGTGCCAGCTGATCTTTATTGTTTTCACTTGTAAAAGTTAAAGCATTTCATGAAGACTCCAACATATAGAAAGACATCCTAGAAAGAACTTCCCTGTGGTCTCAGCCATACACAACCATTTAGGTTTTATGGACCATTCTTCTAGACTTTTTTCTATGAAGATCAGAATTATTATAAGTTTAATGTGTGTTCTGCAACCTTCTTTCTTCACTGATAATATGTCTTGTACATACTGATCTTTCTCATTTCTTTGAAGCAAAACATTTATTGGTACATTTTAGATATACATAATGATATCTCTCATTTTTATAAGGCCACATAAGACTATACTGAGTAGATACACTGTAGTTTAAGAAAGTTTATCAATTAAAAAAAAGAAAGTTTATCAATAGAGGAATCTATTGGTGGACACTCACTTTATGTTATAAATACATCCAGATACTTTCTTAAGGGATTTTCTACAAAGTTGACTTTCCGAGTATGAATTTTTTTTTTTTTTTGGTACCAGAAATTGAACTCGGGACCTTGCGGTTGTGCGGCAGGCACCAAAACCACTGAGCTAAATCCCTGGCCCCCAAGTATGAATTATGAGAAGAGATTACTTAGTTTAATAGCAGAAAAAGGTTTTTTTCTTTTTTCTTTAGTGCTGGGAATGGAATCCAGGGCCTTTTACATGCTAGGCAAGTGCTCTACCACTGAGCTACATCCCCAGCCCTAGAAAAAAGCAGTTTTTAAAATTTTATAAAAAAGCTTCTAGAAAAGCCTTTGGGCTTTAAAAGCCTCCCTGTTGTTTGGTTCATGTGTAGGTCGTGTGGTGTTTGGATATGAAGTCTGTAGCTCCTGTGAGCCCAGGATTCCTCTGCACTGCCACAATTTCTAGCATTGTGATAGGCATAACATAGAGAATAAATATTTATTGAATTAACCTCATTAGTTGTCAACAAATTAAAGGTGAGAATTGTTCTAATGATTCCTGTTTATGTGAATAGGATGTCTTTAAAGACAGTTTTATTGGTAATTTCAATGATGTGACAATTGTTAGTGTTTAATGGTATCCAAAAGCTGATTCTTTTTAGAGTAATTGCTTTATTCATTTCTATGATTATAAAAGACATACACTTAGTAGGTGGTATGGAAATCATAGATGAGCAAGAAAAATAAAACTTAGAAGAATAGAAATCACCAGTAAGTCCACTGCCAGAAACCATACTCCTCCCTCAGTGCATGAAGGGCGGGCTCTTGGGGAGGGTTCTAGACGACTCTTACTCAGTGAGTGTCTGATTCCCTCAGTAGCTTCTCATTCACTTTGGGCTGGTAGATTGTTTGGCGCTAGAAGCAAGCTGCATGCCCTGATGGTATCTCAGCTCACCGTCCTCTCTCCTTCCCTAGTTCTCTTTGCCATGAAGGAGGATAACGAGAAGGTGCCTACTTTGCTAACGGACTACATTTTAAAAGGTAAGAGCATCTGCAAGCCTCCTGGTGCAGAGTGGCCCTCTGGGCTCCAGCTCCAGCTTGCAACCCACGCTGACCCCTCCCAAGCTCCCAGGCCATACAGGCTGGGTGGGCACCAAGTGGACATCTGCAGGGCCCTCACAGGAAGGAATGAGTGTCGCTAGGAGGCCTGAGAATATTCTCTCAGCCTGAGTCACCACTGTGATTCCACATGTGGGGCAGGGTATGCACAAAGGGTACAGTGTGAAAATTTTGTGGACTTTGAGTTGCGCAGTTCAGAAAAACAAACCTGAAAAATAAAACTTTTCAAGTCCTTGAAAGGAGAATGGATTCATGATTAGATATGTTCTTTCATAACTTTTTTATTTTTTTGGTACGAGGGATCAAACTTGGGACCTTGTGCTTGTGAGGCTGGCGGTGGCACCACTGAACTAAATCCCCGGCCCTTTTTTTACCTTTTATTATGAAACTTTTAACACATATGAGAGTAGAGTGAGTGGTATAAAAAACTCTCATGTACTCATTGTCTAGCTTCACCATCATTAATCCCAGTCTCATTTCATTTTACCCCCACCCAACTTCTCCTCTCCTATGTTATTTTGAAGCAGATTTCTGTCATCTTGTTTTTTATCCATAAATATTTCAGTATGCATTTCTCTGCACGCCAATTTTTTTTACTTCTTTTTAATTTTTCTTTGGTACCCAGGATCAAACTCGGGCCCTTCCACTTGCGAGGCAGGCAGTGGAACCACTGAGCTAGATCCCCAGCTTCAGTATGCATTTCTAAAACATAGGAACTCTTTAGAAAAAGATACCAGTAATACCTTTATCCCAACTTTTAAGAAAATAAGCTTTGGGCTGGGGATTTAGCTCAGTGATTCTGCTGCCTGCCTCAAAAATGCAAGGTCCCGAGTTTGATCCCCAGTACCAAAAAAAAAGCTTTTTTTTTTTTCAGTATTAGGGATCTTTTTTGTTTTGTTTTGTTTTTTGTGATACTAGAAATCGAACCCAGGGCCTTCACATTGAATTTCATCCCCAGCGCAGTTTTTTTTGTTTTGTTTTGAGACAGAGTCCGGCTAATTCGCTAAATTGCCCAACCTGACCTCTCACTTGTAATCCTCTTGCCTCAGCCTTCCAAAGCACTGGGGTTATAATTGTGTGCCACCATGCCTGTCCCCAATTCTTTTTATTTTGCATTTTCAGATAGGATGTCACTAAGTTGTTAAGTTGCCAAGGCTGGGCTAGAACTTGACATCCTCCTGCCTCAGCCTCTCCGAGTGCTGGGATGATAGATATGTGCCACCATGCCTGGCTAAAATTAAGAGTTTCTTAATATCATGGATGAACCAATCAGTGTTCAGATTTCCCTAGTTTTCAGGATTTTTTTGCATTGAGATCTAATGAAGGCCCATATGTTTCTTAATATCTTGGATGAATCAATCAGGGTTCAGATTTTCCCTAATTTTCAAGATTTTTTTGCATTGAGATCTAATGGAGACCCATATGTTGTAAATTGATGGATATCTCCAAGATCTCTCTTAGTATAGTTTCCCTTTCCTTCTCTTCTCCATTCCTTCAGATTTTTCATTGGAGAAGCTAGGGTATTTGTCCTGTAGAATTTCCTCATCCTGGCTTTTTCCTAACTGCACCCCCAAGGTACCATTTAATATGCTCTCCCATCTCCAGGAACTGATAGAATGAGAGACTCAATCAGATTCAGCTTCAGATCTTTTTTTTTCCCCAGATCTTTTGATAAGCACTACATTTTCAGTGGTTGTAGATTTCTATTGGGAGATATATTGTCAGGTTGTCTTTTTGTGTGTGTGATGTTAAAAGCCATTGATGATCACTCATTATGTAGATCCATTATTTTATTAGCTTTTGTTCTACCTGTACACAAAACTTTGTAGTTTCAGAAAGCTTGTGGAACAGAACCCTGAGCTGTACTGTTTCTGTAAGTATTGGAGAAAGGAATCTTAAATTTGAGCAGGAAGAATTTAGGCTAAACATTAGGAGGGATTTGTGGCTTTCCTTCTCCTCCTCTCCCTCCTTCTTCATCTTTTGCCATGCTGCAGGCTGATCCCAGGGCCTAGCATATGCTAGGCAAATGATCTGCTACTGAGCTACATCCTTAGTCCAGGACTTGTGACTCTTAAAGATTTTAAAAGAATGGCAAAGTTCTCTAAAGAGATTTTTAGAAATGGATTACCTAAGTTTGATAGTAGAGGGCCAGATTTAATCCTCATGATTCACTGAAATGTCAGTGAATTTGTAATAGTTAATATTTACTGAGCACATGTGTGGGCTTCTCAGCAGCCCCATGGGATAGCAGGGGTATGTTGTACTGTGCAGTTGAAAAAAAAGTGTGAATAGGTGAGGTCATTCCCCTCGGGCCATAGAGTTAGTAATGGCCAGATCAGGATTCACACAGAGGCAGATGGGCCCTGGAGACCACATGCTTAATCTTTACACCAAACATCCACCTGTTACCCTTGAAAGACACCCGGCCACAGTTACTCCTGGTTCTCAGCGCTGTCTTCTGTTCAAGAGCCGGTGTGACCACCACAGTGCCTGACCCTCCTCCTCCCCTCTTCTCGTTTCAGTGCTCTGTCCCACCTAACCTTGCCTTTGGAGCAGCCTGGCTGCGGGAGGTCACTGAGCAAGAGTCATTCCACCACAGGGACTGCATGACACCACGTAACCTCCAACGTGTATTTAAACGTGTATAGCCTAACCTGGATTAAACATGAGCAATCACGTGGGGTCCTTTGCTGTTGGCTTCTAGTGCTAGTAATCATGGGATGCATGATCGGGGCGCAGGATGGGTGACATGGCCTCCTCTCCACCTGTGTCGGGCGGGGAAGGCGGATGTTCTCACCTCTTATTATGTAGTCTGGCTCCAGCCCTCAAAAACAGCTTATACTCTTAAGACTAATTTTGAAATAAACCTTCGTTTAATTAATATTCTTCATGTGTTTTGGGGTGTGGTATCCACAGGCACTCTGTTCCGAACCCTCTCTAGAAAGATTGTGTGTCGGCCTTCACATGTGGTTCTGTGGCCACTGGCAGCCCACATGGTGCTTGGGCCAGGATAAGGTCCTGCTGTGGGTTGTGGTGCATTTGTGAGATGTGGTAGAGCTGCAGGGACAGACAGAAGGAGGAGGTTGGTCCACAGACTCCTGCGATTGTGGAGCTGCACCGTGTGTTTTATAAACTAGCTGGTCAGAAGGGGTCGGGGGTTAGGTGTACAGATAGAAAGTGAGCCCCAAGGAGGAGCCAGGCAACTGCAATGCCTTTTGTTGGGATGGCCAGGTTTGCTTCCTGGAGCCTTGGGGTTCAGGGGCTGGAGGGAGTGAGTGCTGCCCCGCCCTCCCAACATAGGCCATGGTGGCTTTGTTCCTGTACCGAGAGACACCAGCTCCTTGTCTGCCCCAGCGACCCCTGTGAACAGCATCCTCTGGCTTTGCACATCCTCCCTGCCCTTCCTGCATCCCTAAGGTCCTCAGCCCTTGATTCTACATGCTGTCTCTGGTATCCACAGCAGGCAGCTGCCAGCCTGGGCCAACCAGCAGCAAATGCTCTCCCTGTATTGCCGATGCTGGTTCAGCTTCACCATAGCCTGAATTGCACTCCGTGGCTTCTGTCTTCCAGCTTGAATGATGTTAACCCTGTCAGTTCCCATAAAACCCTTTATGGAATACTTGCTACTGCCTGACACTGGCCTTGCCACTTTTCACACTGTCTTACATCCCAGCAATTTTCTGTTTTAGTGTTATCGTGATTTTTCAGAGGAGAGAAACATATGTGCAGCAGCTTTCCCAGGCAGCACAGGTGGTGGTAGAGACAGACTGGTCTGTAGGCCTCTTATCCAAGACTTCCACTGATTCTTAGGTGTGTAGTACTTGCTTTAACTGAGCACTAAGTTCTCTTAGGTATGTGGTAAATCATACTCAAGGGATGATAAGATACACATGAAAATCCTCAGGGTCAACAAATTGACATCAATATCAGTCCTTTGACAAAAAGGGATGAGTTCAATTCTGCAGCTTTTTGGCACTAAGCTAAAAAGATGCAGGAGTGACTGGTGATGTGGGGTCATTGGCAGATTTAACATTTTGCCAGCTGTGGGGTTTTTTGATGGTCTCAGCAGAGGAGAAGCAGTGAATCTCCAGAGCTTTGCTTCCTGTCTTGGATTTGTGAGATCTGGGTCAGCCACTCCTCTCCCCCGGTTTACCCTGCCAGCAGGTGTCTGAGACAGCAGAGACAAGCTAATCAAAGCTGCTGGCAGTTAAAAATAAATCTCAAGCATCAGGGCCACACTCAGTCCAGGAGGAGGTGAGTGGAAAAGAGAGGAACAGTGCTTTTTTCTCAAGGTTTAGCAGGAATATGAAATCCATTCCTCAAGGTTCTGCTTTGCCTTCTCCTTGTCCTTGCTACTCAAAGCGTGCTGTCCAGCAGCACTGTCCACAGCCAGTAGCTGGTTAGCAGTGCAAAATGGCAGGCAGAACCCCAGACCGGCTGAGTCAGAATCTGCAGTGAACAAGGCTCCCTGAAGCTGGGATTTTCATCAAGGTTTGGAAAAACTACTCTAGGTTTCCAGTTGCTGGAACCCTGACTTGAGACTGAATCCAAGGAAATCACGGGCAGTGTGATTAACTAGTGAACCTAATTCTCTTCCCCCAGCTTTCTCTTCCTCTCATTGCTCTGAATTATAGTAGCAACAGGGAAGATGCTTGGGGAAGAACTGATATTTCAGGATCTGGTCAGTTTTTTGGGGGGGACCGGGGATCGAACTAGGGACCTTGCAAGGCAGGTGGCGGAACCACTGAGCTAAATCCCTGGCCCATAATCCAGTCAGTTTTGATGGCAAAACTCACCCAGTGCAGGATGTCTGTACTCAGCAAGGAGTATTGGAGAGCTAGTGTCTGCAGAAAGTCCTTTAGATAGGTTGGAGGTCAGCCTGGCTGCTAGGTTCTGTAACTAAGGTATATTCCTATTAATTAAAGGATTCTGTTCAACCTAGTTTGATGAAGCTCTGGCAAGAAAACTCCACTATGCAGCTACAAGCCAGCCTTTATTTATGTAGGGTTGAAACAAATGGTCATGGGCACAGACTGTTTTCCAAATGAAATATGCATTCATGTCTATTTCAGGATGGGAGGCAGATGTGGTCCTTCGGAAAGAAAACCTCAAGAGAGGGGCTTTGTGTCCCACAGTTTGGAGGACAAATAAGATTTTTGAAATTTAATAACCCTTTTTTATACTCACTGGCTGAAGTATAACTATCTTCATTTAGTGGTCAGAGAAGAAATGGAGACTATCAATAAACAGGCACGATCCCTCCTGGTTTTGTTGGGGAGAGTGCTGAGGACTGAACCAGGACTTTGCACATGACAAATAAGTGATTTATCACTGAGCCATATCCACAGCTCCTACCTAGCTGTTTCAGGATGAACTAAGTTGTAACTTGGGTTATAACAGTTCATTCCATGAGCATTTCTGAGCATCTACTATGTCCTAGGTTCTCCCACCACAGCCGGGTCATCACAGGTCAAAAGCAAGGAGCATTTGCTTTCCTAGCAGCAGAAGCAAGAAATAAGGAGGGGCTGGGGATTTAGCTCAGTGGTTCCGCTGCCTGCCCTGCAAGCACAAGGACCTGAGTTCAATCCCCAGTAGCAAAAAAAAAAAAAAAAGAAAGAAAGAAATAAGGAGAGGCAACCTCATTTCCCCAGAAGTTGGGAGCAGTGCCGCTCACTTGTCTTCCATGCCAGCCTCTGTGGTTAGTATGCACGGAAAGGGGAGTAATTACATGTTACTCTTGGAGAAGAGACACTCTGGTTCTTGATGGTGCCTGATTATTTATTTCCTTGAGAGGATGAGAGAATAATCATTTGGATTTCTGTCTGAACCAGGGGTCTTCTCTCCTCCTTTCAGGAGGGAGGGGAAGCACACACCACTCTGCTGACCTGGAAGGTGTGTTGGCTTCTTAATGCCTTTCTTCTCAAAGAGCAATGAGCCACCTTAGCCCATAGCTCAGCAGCGCCCCCCCCCCAGCCCTTATGCATATTCATCTGTGCTTCAAAGAGCACAGCGTGGAATATGCAGATTGGCCAGGCTGGAGCTGGTTGGCATTTTGATAATAGCTTTGTCTGAAAAAGCCCTAGGGACACAGGCACATCTAGTTTCTCTCTTTCTCTCTCTTTCCTCCACCCTGTGTCCTACCCCGCACTCTGTCTTCCACTCCCATTTCCCTGCCAGAGAACAGGCAAATGAATCACAGAGCCAAAGAAGCAAGTGAGCCAAGGAGCCAGGTGTCTGTTACAGTCCAGTGGATTTCCACTTCATCCTCTCTCCTCCCTCCCCTTGGAATAGAATTGTTTTGTTTCTTTCCCACCAGGGTTGCTGGGTCTGAGAATGCCCCAAGCCTGGGCCTGTCTTCTGCTCTGCATTGGCTACCCCCCTTTCTGGGTACTCATTTTGTGCCATCTCTCCCAGAGATGGGCTCTCTACCCTCCTTTCCTCCTCCATCTTCCACCCTGCTTTTGCCTTTACTCTCAGCAGCTAAGTCTAAAAACCTAAGAACCAGGCCCTGCTCTGTGAGCAAGGAAAGGAGTCCCCTTGCCTACACAGGCCAGAAAGAAAAGGCTGGATGTCTGCTGTTGTCACTGACAGCATCTGGACTTGATGTTTCCTGACACAGTCTACACTATCGCACCACTGTCCGCCACAGTGCCACTGACCTTGCTGTGGCCCAGGCCTTTATCCTAAGCCGCACTTTCTCCTCTGAAGCCCAGCTTCCTGATCATCTTGGAGCAGAGCTCCTCAGAAAGTGCACAGAGCGGTTCTCTAAATTCAGAGGACCTGATCCTGTCCCTCCCCTATAGAGGAGATGCTCTGCAGGAGAGCAGCAGGAAGAGGCTGAATGCTATTTCACCCAGGAACCTTAGAGGGGACAAGCAAGGCGGTCCCCCACCACCACCCTGGACTTAGGGGGAAAAGGGGTCTCTGCCTTGAACTCCAAAGACTGGCTCTGCTCAAGCCCAAGTTTAGAGAGACTCATTATCTCATAAAAGGAGTGTGGGCTTTTGCAGAGGGTTCAAATTGCAGCTGTTATTAAACAGCTGTTTAATATGTTATTAAACATATTAAACAGGCTCTATATCCTCATTAAATCCTGCTTAGTGGTAGCCCAGGGAGCCCTGGAGCTGCTGATCCTGGGACCAAGGCCTTCTAGTGCTCCTGGATAAGGAGATGAAGCAGAGGCAGAAGTTGTATCTTACTGATTCTTCAGCAGGCTCACTCCTGGAAGTGGTGGGTGAGGGATGATGTGAAGTCAAATTTATTTTTGAGCTTAGAGAATATTCTCTATTTTCACTGGCATGGAGATGGGGTGGCAGGTGAGGAAACACACAGACCACCCCCAAATCACTCATGGAGCTGCTCAAGCCTCATGGCACAGGTGGGAATGTGAAGATTAATTCAAGTGATTTGAGAAAGGCCTCGAAGGTTTCCTACAGGACTGCTGCACATGCTGGAGGAGCTTCGGAGACCACCAGTAACAGCCTGTGGGGCTTCTTCTGCATGTGCTGTTTCCAGCAGGGAGATCTCAGATCAGAGCAAAAGCTGGAGGGATTGGTTGCCTCTGGGCAACAATCTGGCTTTCTTGGCCCGGGAAGGCAGTGGGCAGTATGAGGTAAAGAGGGGAGGGACAGTGTGCTGCCACCGGGGTTCCTGTATGCTGTGCATGAGTCACGTGT